AAAAAGAAAAGAAGGAGAAACCCCCCCCCCCCCCCCCCCGCCCATCGTGGTCCCCCCCCCCAGTGTTTGCCATCGGGTTTGGGTTTTCGTCGCTTGGCAACGACGTTGTAAAACAAGCCGCCCCACCCGGTGTTTGCCATCGGGGTTGGGTTTTCGTCACTTGGCAGCGATGTTGTACAACAAGTCGATCACTTCGTGAGCTCGGCAACCAGGTTACCGCCTTTGTTTTTGCGATAACCATGAATGGTGGTCGAGTCGATTATGTTGTTCAGGGTCGAGAACCCTCACTCCACGAAAAAGGGGATGGTCGCACCACGTTGTGTTAAATTGGTCAAGCACCCTCGAGGCAGTTACACAATGCTTACAACTGTCTCTGAAAGTGAAAACACCAGAAAAAGTCATACGCAGCTGCAATTCGTACGCAAGGAAGTACGCACAAGATGCCCAACACCCTTAGCAGGATGCAGCGCACCCTTCATGCGACTCGCCGAATACCTCACAGCGCTTCGCGCTTGGTGATGTGAGAGCCTGGTCCGGTGAGAACCCGGCATGCTTCGTCCCGGCTTTGTAGGGATGCGTGGTCAATGATCTAACGACTACGGCATGCACGACTATGAGAACCCCCCCCCCCCCCCCCCAATCTTGGACATCATCTCATACGAACTCTGTACTCATGTGGTGATCTGCACGTCGTTTGTTCGTTATTTGGTTACCCCCCCCCCTGAAACCCACGTTGTAGCTATTTCCGAAAGGGTCAGACGTGGCGGGAGCGGGATCTCTCGCAGCCCTGCTGGCGACGCCGGAGGTGCTGGAGGCCGCCGCCGTCATCGCGCTCTTGGGGGGCACCGCGATATGGGCGCTGAACTTCGCTACGGGGGCGGTGGGGGCGTTGATGCCGGGTCAGAGCGAACCCTCGCAGGAGGAGGAAGAGGAAGAGGCGGCGTGATGTAGAAACGTGGTTGGTTCTTCCCTTTTCGCAGTGTGTTCTTGTCGTCGCCACGTACAAGGGACTAGTTGGCCTTGCTGTACTCGTATCGTACACCGAATTGATGAGAGTGGGTGGTATTTTTCTGCAGTGCAAGTCGATTAAATAAGAAGAGGGCACGAGGGACTGCCGCTATACCCACATGTTGCATGCATGTGGGCTGGTGGACGGGTTCCAGACCTGGGTCGGCTCAGTTTTCGTTTGGCGACTTGAAAGACCAGTCGACAACCTCGTGCCGTGTTTTTCTTGAATTTGTGCACCAAGCCTGAGCCCGGCTGCAATAGCATGGGACTAGCGTTATATTTCGCGTCAGTGTTGATCAGGGGCAACGTTCCTCATCTGCGGCCCTATATTCGTTCAGTAGGTTAACCGAACGTTTTTGGGGGTGGAATGTGCCGCATAGCCAAGGCCGGTCCAGTTGCTCCGAAACACTCCCACCGTGTAAGACTCCGTGATTTTCTTCGTTCCTAGAACGGGAAATGACGCACGTCATTGTTCTTCGTAAGAAGGAATTCCATCCCTACAAGGCAAACCCACAACCCAAGCACTCTTTTTTCAGACGCTCGCTCTGATTATTGTATCACTTTGGGCTTAGGACGTACCCCAGCTTCCGCTTAGGCGGTGACTCATCTTGTCGGTACGGTGGCCCGATATAGTGGCATGGAGGGGCAAGAGGAGAATATGCCACTATTCGGGGATGTGCCACTATTCGATACAGTGGCAATATTGCCACTATTGACCCGTGAATAGTGGCACTATTGCCACTATCTCGGAGAAACAAACTGTGATGTGCACGCTACCGACATCTAATGAGCAAAATAAGCTTTGATATGCACGCTACCGACGGCCAGCTGTGCCTTTGTCTATGCTCATAGCGTTGTGTAGCACAGTACATATGATATCTATGGTGAATCTTGGTGGTTGAGCATTTGTGAGCAGCAGGGTATCCACATGACAACGCAGATGCTGCCCATCACATCTGAATGACAATTGATCGTCCAAGTGACAACGAGGCTCTCTGTACTCACAACCTACCGTCGCGTGCACGTAGACTGCGCCAACAGCACAACAAATATTCTAACGGATACTACAGTGCTCCTGCAGCCTCGAAGATGTGTCTGCATTCTGTTTGGACTGTGTGTATGAGGAGCGGAAGAAAAAAACACTTCGAAATGAGTCGGAAAAAAATAAACCCCATGTCTGGTGCTCGAATGGCGATCTGTCCGCTCTCTAGGGTCTTCACCTTATTGTGATGTTACGCCACCAACATACTCCGCTTATCCCGACAGAGATGATCAGTTTACACACTTTAAACCGTTTATAGTCACGATCGAAAAAAATCGCTTCAACAACTACTGCTGGTGCAAATTATGTGCATATGGACTGGTTTCGGACTGGTTATAGGACCACCCCGTCCATGTGTGTGTGAGAGAGAGAGCGTTGAAAGACGACTGTGACTCCATCTGATACAGCATGCGGCGCACCTACTACCTGTAGGTTGCGTAGCTCCTGTAGCCATTCGGCTCACTCGCCCTCTACAACGATACTAGCTAGTATATGCATGTCCTGCAGCCCTGTGCAAACGCTGCGAATCCCATCCAGGGTAGGGAGTAACGACAGGGTGAAGAGAAGGGACTCTGGCACGCAAGGTGGTGATGCCGGGAGGATTGTATTGAAGGGCTTTGATCTAGAGGCATCAAGCTTGCCACTGCCGGCGACAAGAACGAGTTTTTGAGAAAATGTAAGACTACCCTCCAGTATTACACACACCGCCTTTTTAGGACACATGGTCTATCTACATAAATAAATTTGCATCACGTTGTATGACAGCAGTACGGACAGCATGCGGTGCGGCGATCCCCAAGCATATATGTAGTGATGCAGAACACGAAAAACAAGTAGTGTACACATATATCGGGCCGCCTACTGTCAATGGTTCTACTCCTCCCCGACTTGTTGGAGCGAGAGATGGATGGGTCATAGCACACACACTTTTCCTGCTGCGATGGGTGGCTGTGACGCTTAGCTTCGCCTGCTGCACGACGACCGACCGCGTGCACTCTGTGGATAATTTTCACCCGCCGCGGTGTCTGCTTCACGCGCGATTGAATGAAGAAGTGAATCCTACTAACGTCAGCAAGTTGATTTAAGGATACGAGTCGTTCCGTTTACGTTGGTTGACGGGAAAATAACGTGTCGTTGGATGTGCAAAAGGCAATAACTTCTCTCTTTTTTGCTCCATCGGCCCCGACAGTCAAGGATGCTTGGCTCGCCATGCTCCCCCTACCGATAAACGTGCAAGCTCGTGTGTGTCTGGTTTCTTGCTCTTGTCACAACACTGCTTGCTGTCGCGTTTTGAATACGGTCGCGTGAGCTTCTCGACTTGTCCTGATACTCCACATCGGAGCCAGGTAGCCCGACAACAGAGAGAGGCGGACAGTCGCAACAAAAAAAGTCTCCCCGGGAGCATCGCGTGAGTGAGTGAATAACCAGCACAAGTAGCCCAAGATCGCCATGTTGCACAAATGCAACAAAATCGCGCTCCCCACTGAAAAGCAGGAGGCAGGGCCTAGCCGCGTTATCCCGACGGCCTCTGTTTACATTGTCGGTCCATCCTAAAAAAAAGACAAAAATCCGTTCGATTGTTTGTGTCCAGCGTTGGCGAGCCTCTGTTTATCACGACCACCACGCGCTTGATCTGTAAAGAGTCCCACCGAGTGCGTGGCGACCTCACCCGCGGTAACCTTAACATCGAAAACCGACTGCCGGCACATCCAAATCTACAGCGCAGGAGGAGGAAAATCTGTCGAAAAGGCACGCCCCTGTGTAGAAACCTAGGCAGGGCCCCGGGACTTTGGGGCGACGCAGACACAACAGTCCGACACCGTTTCACAAATATCACGATTCACACGCGGACCGCCAGCAGAAAAGACAACATCATCACCACCTGCAACACGCAACGCGACCAATTGGATCAGACGATGACCCAAACTGCGACGATGAGACGGCCAGGCCTACATTGGAGCAAAATTCGAACCCACACCTTAACTTCCCGCTCAATCCCACAGGAGCAACGCCGAAGGTGGTAAGACGCGGGGATAACACGCACATTTTGAGAGAAGTGGGTCGGAAGTGGTGTTCAATAAGTTACACATCATTCTACAGGCGTATCGACAGGGTGCTCGCGAATCAGCACTCCGAAACACCACAAAAATCCCCGTTCTTCCCCCGGTCGATCCGCTCAAAAGGCGGCACAAAAACGAAGAGGGACGACGCCGCGCGAGTCTCCTACAACCCCCCGAGGGAGAGAACACGCGCGCGCATCCCCCCCTCCCTCGACAGGCTCAGGGCAAGAGGGAGCCCCACATTTCCTTGGACTTCTCGAAGGCGGCCATAGTGATGCCGATGCTGGGGGCCTGGAAGGCCATCCTCGCTCCTGACCCCTTGAACAGTCCGGCCAGCCCCCCCGCGCGGTAGCTCCGCCGCAGGGCGTCCAGCATGCCGGTGTACGGCGCGGTGGCCGCCGTGGTCGCGACGGCCGGTGGCTGTGACGCCGTCGCAGCCGCTCCTCGTTGCACCTGATGAGGGTAGGGGGGGCAGGCCGTGCGTTGTTGTCCATGCGAGGCGATGAGATTGCGATGCTTGTTTCGAAGACTTTAGAAGGGGTCTTCCTCGTGGGACGAAGCAGAACCTATGGCGAACGTCAGACAGGGGGTGAGTGCATTACAGAGAGGAAATCCACACACCAAAGTATCATGCACCGTGTTCAATCCCTCTCATACTGACGCATTTTGAACGGTCAACCATTTGGCGCCTTCTGCTGAAAGCACAGGATCACACAACACACACACGCGTGAAAAAGAAAGCTCGTTTATTCCCCACTGCAACGTAAAGAAAGACAGCCAAAACGGCCTCCCGCCACCACACTGCCCCCGCGTGCCCCCCCCCCCCCCCCCCCGGGGTTGCCCGCGGGGGTGGGTTTTCCTCGCTTGGGCCCGACCTTGTAAAACCAACCCACCCCCCCGGGGTTTGGCATTGGGGTTTGGGTTTTCCTCCCTTG